AACTAGCTTGCTGGTAACCTTTACCAATTAGAATAAAATGCACTGTTAAATTAATGACAGTTGTTCATGAGCTGTCGGTTTTCTCAGGAGTATCTAGTAGAACATATAAGGAATTAAGAAACAGAGCATTTTCGTCTTTTGCCTAATGAGGAATAATGAGAGAGAGTGTAATCATTTAATTTCTAGCAAACAACCACACTACTCTCACTAACAAGAGGACATGTAGAAAATATCCCCAGAGAGAAGAGAGCATCTTTCTCCTTATACTGCTTTACGTCAATAACACCACTGATTTGCATGGAATTAGTCTCAATTTACTCCTTACTCCAGTTTGGGAAGGAGATTCAGACCCAAAGAGAGTAGGATTTACTTAGTAGTAAATACTATTCTAAAAATGAGAGGATGTACCCACCAATTTTATTCTGAGTTGATGCCATATGCTCTTTGTCTCATCTAAAATTCAGAAGGTTGTGAATTACCAGAAACCTGTCTGTTCCCATAGGCAAAGATTCTCCCTTCTGCTGAGTTGCAGTTAGTGAGTACTCAAATTCACTTCCCTGAGCCCCACAGCGCTTCCTCACGGGCATTTCTGGACGTGAATAAGACCCTCTACCTTCAGCACAAGATAAGTGTGTTATGGGAAATCAGCACGAAGGAATCCAGTTTTTCTGTCTGTGCTTGTTCTGTACACCTTTTCTACAAGCTGAGTCTCAGAATAAAACTTATTCCCCAAGCATAAAACTCAACAACAATTAGTTCTGAGTTAAATAAATACATTAGTTTTCAAATGAGTCATAAAAAACCCCTTTCCCTTTGTTAGAAAAAAGCAATTTGTACTCATATTTACGTAGGAGAACTAGATATGTTTCTAGAGAAGTAATCCCAGATGCCCATATGTTCACACATTTCAACTTAAAGTATTTATAAGCACGTCTTGCAGGCAGGTGCAGTTGAGGCAAGTGGAAGCAGAGATGTTCATGAAAACAGGAGTGAAATATCAATAGCATTTCAGGGGTTACCCTGAATGTTGTAAATGCAAGTAGAAGAAATATATTAAGTACTATTAGGTCTGTATACATATAGATATAGATGAGATTGTTACCCTTTTGTGCATCTAAAACCGAGTAGAAGCTTGTGTTTATTAAAAGGTTTTCAGCTACTTCCTGACAATAAAGATGCTTATTCTGCAGGTGAAAGATGAATTCATAGAGGCATCACATAATCAGAATCTGTTTTGTATTCCTACCTCAAATATGGTTGAACTCCTTTTTTTTTTCCCTCTTCAGAAAACCTTTTAGACAGTACTTCATTTGAAACTAGGCTTCTTGAACTGAGAATTTTGAACCACTGTTTTCACTGACTTTTTATTTCTGTGAGATGTATTTCAAATTAAAAATGCCGGTGTCAGAAAAAACAGTTTTAGTTCCCAGGTTTCTGATACTGTCTTTTGTGTTGTTGCTGTTACTAATCAAAAAATTAAGACCACCACCACTACTCAGCTCCTGTAGAGAACTTTCCATTTTAAAAAGCAATAGGAAATAATTAAAACCTAATTACTTAATTTTCCACAGTAATGACTGTGTTGTACCTCGTTATTATCCTCATTTTAGAACTAGAAGTGCCCAGGGAATGCTTTCCCATTTTCTTAAAAAGGAACTGACCTCTGAAACCAGTGCAGTTTGTGGGAACTAGGCAGATGAGAACCTGCATACCTGATGGCATCATGGTGACTTTCAGGTCCTTCCCTTGCTGTGGGGCTGCACTGACTCAGTTTCTTTAAAGAACTGAGATTGACTGTGGAAAGCTGCACTCGCCGGCTTGTATGGAACAGGAGACCTTCCTTTTGTTTCCTTCCTCTTTTTCACTTAGTGCTAATAATTTAATGAGAGATCTATTTATTGTAAGTACTCTTTGTAAGGTGTGGTACTGTATGTGAAGTTATGTGATATGGAAAAGCTTAGGTCTTATACTTGAGGAGGTCTGGGGTGACTTCACAGATCTGAGTACATGGTAGATGGTAGTCCTGAAAATGTTTGGGAGCGAGCGTTGAAAGTGAGAAGGCCAACTATAGCTTGGAGCATCTACAGGTTTCTTACCATCTTTCTTCAGTATTATTAGGATCCACAGAAAGGGAAATACTAAATAAAACTACTGACTTATATAAACTCCTTATGTCCTTTAGTAGATTCCTGATTTGCAGTAATAATTCCTGAGTCCCTGTGTCGCGTATGTTAGGAAGTTCTGATCAGGTAGATGTCCACACTGGGACTTGAGATGTCTCTGTGATCAGTCTGCTGCAATGTGTATCAGAGTGTTCCCTTTCATGAGATAAAGTTCAAGGAGCTAAAAGGCTTTGAAATCTGTAGCATTATTTTTCAGAATCTGTATCATAATTTGGATTTCTTCTCCACTTTATGCTATTTAAATTCCCAACTTCCGATTACTCATTATGCAACCTGCTCTAGGTAGACCTGCCCTGGTGGGGGGGTTGGACTAGATGATCTCCAGAGGTCCCTTCCAACCCCATATGATTCTATGATTATGCTTCTACTACTAATGAAGCAACCTTAATTTAACAGAGCTACTTTTGATAATGTCTGTATTGCATGGAAATGTAACACAGAAACTTACTTTCATAGTCTTTCATATGAATAATTATGTACCTTAAAGCTATTATGTGGTAGTAAAATTAACTGTCATAATTAATTAATCCCATGAAAGGACAGAATAGCTGTCAATTATGTATTTCAAATAGTCTAAAAAGGGGGGGGGAAGTTACTCTTTCTGTTGACATTGAGGTACATGTGTTAGAGGTAGGACAGAGCTTCTTTCCCACTGGCAGTTATTTAAAATAAAAATTGATTACAAGGTTAATTGTTTAAAAATCTAATAGATACTCATTAAAAATTACCAGAATTTATATTTCTGGGGTTCGGTTTGTAGTTTGTGTCCTCATGTCTCCAGTCATCTACAATGTGCATAAAAAATAATTTTATTTTCTTTAAAACACTATTTAATTTTCTGTAATGATAAAAAGGCCACCATCCTGATTGCTAGTCCTTCTTATCAGACTGTCCTGTATTGTTTGAAAATGGCTCTGCTTTTTAGCCGCTTTCTACTTCCTCATCTCCATATCCTACTGTGCCAGTGACCTCCTTTGTAAAGGCGAATGACCATCATCCCAGTTTTGAAAAATTGTATTTGTTTCTTTTGACTTCTGAAAAACCTTTTTGTGCTCAGACTGCCAGGAGAAAAGGCCAGACTGTCCTTTAGGTTGTATTCCCTCAAATGACGGAAACCCAGGTACATGGGACTATTTTTTTTCAACTTGGTTATTAATTTTCCAGATTGTCTACCTGTGAAGGCTTGAGTATTCAGTCTAGTATGTGGTTGTCTTCAGGCAATTTAACATCCTTGAGTCAAGGGTCCTAGATAGAGGAGTCAGAAGTATAATGGCTTTGTTCTGCCCTCAATAACAGCGTATTGGTAAAAACTATATAATGAACATAAAGATACAAATCAGTTCCTTATTTACGCAGTAGTAGTTAGAATACATGTAGATGTTTTGGTGATGCTTTTGTACAGCTCAAATTTGATTATCAAATTTACATAGTATCAAGTTGAACAAAGACAAAATTATTCTGTAGATAGGAAACACCACGAGAAAAACATCTATTTAGTATTTTTGAGCATCCACCAATCATTTGTAATGCAACTAGATTGTGTCATTTCTAGAATAGTAAGCTAATTTTTTTTACTAATATTAGTTAAAATTAAAGTATGAACTTTTTTGTTCCGGTCAGTAAAGACAGCAGAAATAACTTTGTATGTGAGAACAAATAAATCCTTTCTAATCTGCAATCGGATAAAAATGTGCGCAATACAATAGTGTTTGTTTGTATCTCAAATGCTTCTTACAGAGAATTTCAGTATGTTTTAAAAGGCAACACTATGCTAGTGAGAAAAAGATTTTTAGGTGAGTCTTTAAAGAGAGGTAGATATCTTTGTAAGAACCATGTAGAGGAAAGAACAAAATCAGATCTTATTAATAGCCCCATTTTTAAAATAATGTGAATTCAGCTGAGCGACTTCTGTCTTTTCCACCACGTGTACTAAATAGTGGTGACCTCTAAGGTTGCCTGTGAACATTTAGTAGCATTCCTAAGAAAGTCAGGCTTTTCCCCCAGCTCAAGCACCAGAGGTATCTCTTCTGTAACTGTTTGATAGCATGAGTAACCAAAAGTTATGAAGAACACTGAAAGCCACAAAAGCAACTTGAATTTAACTGATAAAGAGCTACATTTCCAAAAAATCTTTTTTCTCATTGCCGTAAAGCTGTACTACCTGAACTCAGTGTGGGGATAGGTGTAAGAGAAAATAGTGCTTACCACACAGACCAAAAAGAACAGGAGAAATTAAAATCCTCTCAGCCTCGACACCCAACCTTTTGAAAAGTGCCCTGAAGCTTGGGTGAGATATAGATAAATAGAGAAAGTATTATAAAAAACTGGATGTTGGAACAAATCTGTTTTTCACCTGGTCCTAGGCATCAGTTAGCTTCATAGTGGCTACTTAATTTTAAATACCACCTTTCTTAGAGGCTTTTTAGATGGAAACCATACAACCATTTTCCTACAGAATATAAGATGTTTATATTTTGCTCTTTTTAAAGATTTTAATTTTAGCTAGGGGAACCTTCTGGTAATGCAAATGACGAACATAGCCTAGATAAGGTTTCTGGGGCGAAGTAAAAATTTGTCATTAAACTTTTTCCTTAGCATTTCAGGTGAAACAAATTGACTAACCATTACATAAGACAAACAAGCCCCTCCTTAAGCCTACAAATTTCCCTTAAAAAAAAAAACCAACACAGAAAATGAATGACTTCGTCAAGTTCCAATGTATGCAAATATAGCATATCTGAGCCTCTCCTAATGATGGAATTGCTGAGTCCTGTAGTCAACTTAATCACAGACTTACTGAATTACTTTTTTCCACAGATCTGTACCCCAGATTTGGTGGTGTTTCTGGCGTGTTCCAGTCAAAGGCTGAAAGAAAGGTTACTGAAGCGTGCTGAACAGCAAGGGAGACCTGATGATAACCTGAAAGCCACTCAAAGAAGACTAATGAATTTCAAGCAGAATGCCGTCCCATTGGTTAAATATTTCCAGGAAAAAGGGCTAATCATCACAGTAAGTCCTTTAGTATATATCTCTGAAAACTTAATTGTTCTTGTGGTTACACTTGGCTTCTTAGATCTTTTGCTTTAAGATAGGCCAGATGAGTCAAATTATGTTTTTGTTATATACCATGGTTACTGAAAGCTCAGAAATTATTTGCATGAAAGAGCTTGCTTTGAAACACTGGTTGCTATTCCAGTGCCAGCAGTTGTCATGTACTTTTGGATGGTTGTCCTGAGAGGGGAGGAAGGCAGAAAAAAATCACATTCTAACAGAAAGCATGTCTTGAGATGGATTAAATGAATACAGGTTCTTCAAGGAATAAATATATCTGCCTATTGATTGACTCCAGTAAATAAGTCCATAGATTATTTAATCATAGGTTAAATATGCCCTAGCTTGTGGTCTCCTACAAGCTTTAACATTTCAGATAGAATTTTTTATGACAATAGAATTGCAATGTAAATTGACCACTTGGATGTCATTAAGAATACTGATTTCTGCAGCATTTGGGGCAAGAGAAAGTATCTCAAAACACAGAACACACCAAAAGCTGCATTCATAAATAAAGTCAGAAGTACTTCATAGAAGTAGGACTAGCAAGTATTGCTGAAATATTTAAGTGCTTAATGATGACAAATTCAATGAGCAATTGACAACGGTTGCATTATTGATATGTTCTAAATTACAGACTGTGTTTGGTTGTAATAGTGCACAGAACTTAGTACCACATATGGTACCATGAAAGCACAGATGGCTTGCTTTGTTTCTTTTGATAGCCTAAATAACCCAGGTAGTTCACATTACTATGTTCTCTTCACGGTAAATGTGACTAATTCTATATGCTGGTCAGATTCATGAAGGGCCAAAGCACCTTTAATTGCAAAGTCATCTTATGATGTTGGTAACCTTAATAATGCATTCAACACCTTTCTGAATTTAAAAATTAAAATCACAGGAAATTATTACTTTGTTTTCTCTAGAGAGTATCTTTTTATGTTTGAGGGCTTTGATTGAATCTGTTTGGAAGGATAAGGACTGGAATTTTTGGAAGTTGTTCTTCATTATTGAGGAAGTGTGTATTTTGTGACATTTCTATAGCCTTTACAAGTGCTTCTCCTATAGAAAGGATGCTCAGCTCTTCAGGGAAAATGTGCCTTTGCAGATAAAGCATGTGAGGCATCTGGATAGAATTCCTTTTCTGTGATGAGACCTGTAAAACAGAGGATGCTTTTTATGTTGAGGTTTTGTGTTCTACTTTTTAGCTCTGTTTCTGTACAGTTCTAAATATAATTTAAATTGCAGTATTCACCTTAGCTATCTCTTTTCTTTTTAAATAAAGCAGATGTTTGTGATGGATATGGAAATGGTAACATAGCATGTGAACATTATATTACTGTCTCCTGCAGGACAAGGAAACAGAATATGCAGAAAACATTGACTTGGCAACATGCCAAAAAAGTCTTTAATATGAAAAAAATCTGTAATATTTGAATCTACTCCTTGGCTATATGGTTATCTACTCAAACTGTGTTAACATAATTTCATAGAGATCTAGAAATTACTGTAGATTTACATCAGTGTATAAGTGAAGAGAATTAGACTTTGGAAGGGAGAGTCTGTTGTTCACCTGCCATGAGAGCTGCTACAGTGCAGTTGTGTTTCCTTGTTGCAAAACTATGATATATTAGTAAAGCCAAGCCCTGAGAGTTAGACGCATTAATAATTTCATGGCCAGTGGATAAGAGGATCCCTTTCTGTAGATTCCATAGAATTTCATTGCATATGGAAGACATATTTTGCAGTTGCCTAGGACAACTAAGTTGGTGGGGGACAAATGAGCAAGAGGAGTAGCTGGGAAAGGGGTCATAAAAAGAGATTAAGCATGCGTACTCCAGAGCATGTAAGCAACTGAAAATTTCTACAAAAGGACATTATTTGAATCTACACGACCTTGAAACAGAGGAAACATACGCTAACTCCACGTAAAAGACTACATACTGCTAGAGCAAGTTATAAATTCTAAATTAGTGTTTCTAAAAAACAGTTATTATTTTGTCACCATTTGTTCCTTTTCTCAGTACTCAAATTATAGATCAGCATTATCTATGGAGTTTTGATATTCTTCTGACAACGTAATTTCTTTTAATAGGTTTATTTGTTGGAAATTCATTTGTCCAATGAGAAATCTGTTTCTGCCAGCTTCCTGTCCTATTCCTTTAAGCAAATATCAATGGGGATAACAGATGTTTCTTACTCCGAATGGCTTTGATCCCATTGTCTTCTTCACTGATGAACTTGAGGTTTCTTTTCATTTTGAAAAAAACCCCACAAATCATATAATTTTTCATAGCTTTCCAAGAGTGGAAAAAACAGTTTTCTTTGGAAGCCATAGGATCCAAGAACCACTGCAGTCTTTACCACCACCTTCTCCTGGTGGAAGCCTTGTATCTTGAAACTTGCCTTTACTAGTATGTATCTGTATAATAGACATGTAATATTAACACTTCTACCTACACTTGATGCACTTGTACATGCTATTTCCATACAGAAGGAGGGAGCAAGAAAGAAAATCACATTTATCCTGCTGATTATTACATTGAACCCGGAAAGCACTCAAATATTATGTGGATGAGAACAGCGTAAGAACTAGAATAACATGAAATAGAATTACAGTAGCCTAATTCCTAGAGGAGTGAATCCATAAGGCAAGGTCAGGCAAGGTCAATGTTGACCAGGAGGATAAAAAAAGATTTACATTTTTCTTAAATCCATACCCGCACCTTGTCACTGCTATTCAAAGCTGTAAACCTCAGAACATTTCTTCTAGCCAGCATCATGATCCTACTCAGGGAAAAGGAACGAAGCCATTTGTATATGGAGAGTTACAATTTTAGAACCACGACTCGAATTTTAAACGTCTACTTAAATACGTTGTTCTTCATCAATAAACAGACTAAAAGGCAAAAGAAAAATCAAATCTAACTAAATATGATTAATGAGCAGACATGATATGATTATAGTCTACTCTTAGACACTGTATGAGCAAGAAAAAAAAAAAAATCTAAATTCCCAAAGAACTCCTGCTCCAGCAGTTATTCCATACTGTTTTTAATGTATTTTGGTTAATAGAATTAAAAAAACCACCTTCTTCATTTCAGAGCTTACTGGTTTTAGGTTGCTTAGGTGTAATTCTTTCCTTTCATCTTTTTTTCCCCTTCTTCTTTGATAATTTTACACCCTACAGAGCTGTTTGCTGCTCTGTATGCCGTATGTTTTCAGTCTATACATGTCAGAGTCTGATCCTAGTTTCTGTTTTCAAGGAAAGAAGTGAGGGCCCAACTACAGAACTTCTAAGGAACAGGAAGATATAGCTGTGTCCCTTCTGAAAAACTCCTTCTTTGGAATAATGAAGTTGAAATATCCAAAATTTTGGATTGTTGTTCAAATTGAACAGAACTGTAAACTTCTTTATAATTAAGAAAGATAAGTAAATATCTGATATTTTAATGAAATTCTTTTTAGCAATCTTTCAGTAGGTCTAAAATCAAAACAACTTAAGTCAAATTTGATTTCAGAAAGTATCAAGACAATAGTAATAGATATCACAATATTGGACATGGAGTATTATAAATAGATGCATATGCTGGTGATTACTGTATCATTAACTTTAGAAATCTTACAGTATTATCTATTGCTTATCTAGACAATAACTAAGCCACGAATTAGTGTGGGGGGGGAAGATGTAAGATTAAATTATAAAGGGGAGAAAATGTAAATGCCTAGGGATCTGCAAGTACTCCAATGTTTAGCAGAGGACTTCGCTTCTGAATACAATTTAATCCATTCCTGTATCCTTCCTGCCATCTAACAAATATTAGAATATTATTATATTTGGTCTCAGGTGCTGACATGACAATTGGTATGTGTACACAGCTGTGCCCAGTAAACCAAGGCTACTACTGAGGTGTGGTCATGAGTAGAGAACTTCAAAATAAAAAGGTCTCTGCAACTTCTAGACAGTGCTTGCTGTTCATTGAAAAATATTTAGATCATTCGTATCATTCACCTATAAGAATCACTGTTATTTTGGCTACAGTACTCCTAGAGGTACAGTATGGTATCATTTCAATTTGTAACACTGATTTATAAGGTTTTCCCTCCTTTTTTTCTTTTTTTTTTTTTTAAATAGATAATAATAATGAAAAAGTAAGGCAAAGAAATTAAAACCCCCTAATCCCTATGTAACTAATGTGCTTTAAAGCTTTTAATGTGTTTGCTGTCCTTAGAGGAAGGTAGCTTGCCCTCAAAAAATATGCTGTGAGTTACAAATAATAAAAAGTTAATTATTCTCCCTACCCCCAGCACCCCAGCCTGGATAAACTGTGTTTCAGGAGAAAAGTGGTCTGTGTTAGCTGAAGTTCTGGTCCAGCAAATCTTTGTTGTCTGATGAGAATTTATTGTTAAAGGAGATTACTGTTAAAAATGCTTCTTAAGAATCAGCTGGAAAATTAAACTGCAAACTGGTTTATTGTTTTGTTAATTTAAAAGTACATTTCTCTTCTGGACATTATATTGATGTTTCATCATTGTTAGACCTGCTGCTGTGAACTACCTAGCTCTTAAGAACCATCAGATAAAGCTAAAGAAAATCACATTCACTGATCTTTGAATAAATTATTGCAATGTAAAATTATTCTAACTAGGAAACTTTTTCATTTATACCCCATCAGATGTAATTCATCCTGCTGCAGGGAAGTTTAAAGAACACACCAGTTCAGCACAGTAGACCATAATGGTAGTAGCACTTGTATCATAATGTCCCTAACTCTAAATCAGAAACAGAGCTTCTGCTCCCCAGAAAGCAGCCTCTTTGCTTACAAAAAAATAGGGTTTTCTCCACTCAGCTGACTTGGTTAATTTGTTCTCAGTTGTAGGGACGAGCTATGTTCTGGAGAGAGAGGAATGAGAATTCAGAGGATAGTAAACAGTGCCCACTTAATGAAAAATAC